CGACGTGCTGCTCCCGTGTCCCACGGGCCTTTGATCCCTTCCAGGCTGGAGATGCGCCACTTCGGGGTGAAGGTCAGCACGATCGAGCCAGGCTACTTCAAAACCCAGATCACCAGCATCGAGAACATGGAGAAGAATTTTCTTTCCATCTGGGAGAAGGTCCCAGAGGAAACCAAAGCGAGTTACGGGCAGAATTATTTGAAGGAGTGTAAGTACCTCACCTAAGGGGCTAAGGGATTCTCTTTCTCTCCTGACACAAGGAATTTTGGAAAAAGGAGTTGGGACTGTTTAGTGTGAGGAAGAGGAGGCTGAGGGGAGACCTCATCACTCTCTACAACTACGTGAAAGGACACTGTAGAGAGGTTGGTGCTGGGCTCTTCTCACAGGTCAATAGTGACAGAAGGAGAGGGAACGGCTTCAAGCTCCAACAGGGGAGGTTTAGATTGAACATTAGGAAGGAATTTTTCACCCAAAGAGTGGTCGGGCGTTGGAAGAGGCTGCCCAGGGAGGGGGTGGAGTCCCCATCCCCGGCTGTGTTTTGGGGCCGCTTAGATGCAGTGCTGAGGGCCATGGTGTAGGGGAGGACTTTGTAGAGTAGGGGAGATGGTTGGACTCGATGATCCCAAGGGTCTCTTCCAACCTGGACCATTCTATGATTCTAAGGCACGTTCCTGGGGTCACGGCGTGTCCCACTGCCCCTCACCCCACCGAGCCGTTTGGCTGGAGGGTCTGGGTCTGGCAGCCTGACCGGTGCTTTCTCCCCCTCCACAGTTTTGGTAGAAGCCAGGAAGATGCAGCAGAGATGCAACCCCAACCTGCGCCTGGTGACGGACTGCATGGAGCACGCGCTGACCAGCCGCCACCCCCGCACCCGCTACTCGGCGGGCTGGGACGCCAAACTGCTCTACATCCCCCTCAGCTACATGCCCTCAGCCCTCACCGACCTCATCTTCTCCTGGTCCTACCCCAAACCTGCCCAGAAAGCCTGAGACGGGGACGCGGGGTGGGATCCAGCGTCGCCGCAGCCGAGGCTGGGCCAAGAGGTTCCCAAATTCCTCACTCGGTGGAAATGAGGAATCCCCTCGCACCCGCTGCCCCACGGGTGCAGGGCACCTCGTCTTCTCCTGGTCCTACCCCAAACCTGCCCAGAAAGCCTGAGACGGGGCGCAGGGTAGGATCCTAGGCCCCCGAGGCCGGGCCAAGAGGTTCCCAAATTCCTCACTCGGTGGAAGTGAGGGATCCCCCTGCACCCGCTGCCCCGCGCTCGCAGACCCGTTTGGTTCTGAATAAAGACAACTCCTCCTCCCCGCGTGGCAAGGCCTTGGTTTCGGCCTCAGCCGGGGCTGCGGCACCGAGGCCGTGTCCCCACTCCTCCAACCGCCGCCGGCTGCACCGGGATGTGCCACGGGAGCTCCCGGGATCTCCGGCCGTTCCCCCCAGCGCCTGCTCCGTGCGGGGTCCAGACCCCCCTCTGGGCTGTGAAAACTCCTCTCGGCCCAGCTGGCACCCCAGGAATTACCACATGGATAAAAACCAAACCCCTACAAACCTGGGCAGATTCCCCCTGGGCACAGGGGCAGCCTCTGGTTGAATCCTCCTCTTCCTCCTTGGTGCCCGTTGGGCATCCTGGGCAACGTCTGCTTCTGTGTGGGGCTCTGCTGACCCACAGACCCCGTCAGTGAAGGCTGCCCCGCTCCAGCAAACCGTGCCCGGGCACCGCTGTGGATACCCCTGTGCCCGTGTCCAGGCTCACCCCGGCAGCTTCATGCCCTCCTCATCCAGGGACCATCCCGGTGTGAGGGGATGGAGTGAAGCCGGGTGATACAGAGGGGCCGGGAGCTGCTGATGGTGCTCGGAGATTCAGCCAAATCCAGCTCCGTGGGGCAGCCAGACCCACGCCGCCGGCACGAACTGCAGTTAACGGGCAGAGCAGAGCTCCTGGCACGTGGATCTGTGCGAGGAGAGAATTGCCACGGAGAGAGACACAAATCTTTCCCCGAGGCGCTGCCGCAATCCTGCCTCTGCCTCAGCACATCCCAGAGCAGCCCCGGGACAGGCTCTGCCCGAGGGGCAGGGGCTGGTCCCGCACCCCGGGACCTATAAATGGGGCAGAGACACACGGAGGGCACAGGAGGCTGTTGGCGTCCCGGTGCCCGAGGATGTGGCTGTACCTGGCGGCGGTGCTGGCGGGGCTGTACCTGCTGCGGCGTTGGCACCGGGAGCGGCAGACGGTACCGGGGCTCTCGGAGAAGTACGTGCTGATCACGGGCTGCGACAGCGGTTTCGGGAACCTGTTGGCGCGGCAGCTGGAGGCGCGGGGCCTGCGGGTGCTGGCCGCCTGCCTGACCCCCACCGGGGCCGCCCAACTGCGGGCGGCCTCCTCGCCGCGCCTGCAGACCCTCCTGCTGGATGTCACCTCCAGCCAGAGCATCGCCGCCGCCGCCGCCTGGGTCCGGGAGCGTGTGGGCGACCGAGGTACGACGGGGTGACCCCCCCCCATCATCATCACCCCCATCACCCCACTGACCCCACTCCCCGTAGGCCGGGGAGTAGGCCCAGCTCACCCCGTCCCCTCTGCCAGGGCTCTGGGGGTTGGTGAACAACGCAGGGACCGCTGTCCCCACCGCCCCCAACGAGTGGTTGACCAAGGATGACTTTGTGAAAGTGCTGGACGTCAACCTGGTGGGCCTCATCGAGGTGACGCTGAGCCTCCTGCCCCTGCTGCGGCAGGCGCGGGGCCGGGTGGTCAACGTGGCCAGCGTGATGGGCCGGCTCGCCTCCTTCGGGGGAGGCTACTGCGTCTCCAAATTCGGCGTGGAGGCCTTCTCCGACACCCTCAGGTACGGCAGCGGTGGCCACCAGCGGTCCCCGGTGCTTCCCTGTGGCAGGGCCTGTCCGGCAGCCGTGCGCGTTGGCGGGCACAGATGTGCCGGGAGGGCTCTGCCCCGCTTTCCCCACGCAGGGTTTTACGCTGCACCCACTTACATCAGTCCCCACGGAGCAGAGCAGTGAGCGGGGGGGGGGGCAGCTTGTGAAATACCCACCTGGTCGCCCACAGGTTGGGAAACGGGGGCACGGCTGGAGCAGCCGTTGTGCAACCATAAGAAGGGTTTCAAGAAACCCCTGGGGGAGGAGGAGACGGCTGCCCTGCACCCCCCGGGAGACAACGGGGGGTGCCCAGGGAGGGTGTCACAGGCTCTACCTCACCCCACACGGCTGATGCCTGACCCCTCCACCAGGCGTGAGATGCGACCCTTTGGGGTGCAGGTCTCCATCATCGAACCCGGTGGCTTCAGGACGGGGATGACCGACCCCACGACGGTGGCGAAGGGTTTCAAGCGCCTCTGGGAGCGGCTCCCGGCGGAGACGCAGGCGGCCTACGGCCACCACTACCTGGAGACCTGTGAGTACGTCCCTGGTGACCCCAGCCCTCCCCGGTGACCCCTCCGTCACCGACGGGCCAGGCCGGGCTGACCCCCCCCCTCTGCCCACCCAGACATCAAGAGCACCGTCCTGCTGCACCGCCTGAGCAGCCCCCGCCTCTCCCGAGTCACCGGCACCGTGGAGCACGCGCTGCTCACCCGCTGCCCCCGCAGCCGCTACGCAGCCGGTTGGGACGCCCGGTTCCTCCTCGTGCCCCTCAGCTACTGCCCGGCCTGGCTCACCGATGCCTTCATCGGCCTCTTCCTCCCTGTCCCTGCTGGGGGGACGCCTGTGCGTCCCTAAGGACGACCACCACACCGGGGAGGTGGCCGCAGCGCCTGCAGGCCCCCACCGGCCTCAGACCCCCGTTAACCTGCTCAATAAAGCTGCTGCAAAGAGAGGGGCTGCCCGTGGGGACCCCCAAACTCAGAGTTTAGATTTAAGATGCCGCCGACTCCACCACCGAGCCATTTTGGGATCCTGCACCCCTTGGAGAAAGCAGCAATTTAAGATTTGTTAACCCTGTGAGGGTAAATCACAGGATTAGGTTGCACGATATTTAACAATAATCAGCCGATTAACGGGGTGATTTCATAAAATGGGCTATAATCAATACAGCGACTTAATTAAAGATTGGAGAAGGTTCCCAGGAGATTTGGGACAGAGCTCCCAGCCCCAAACCAGCCCCACACACGGAGACAGAGATTAAACCCTGTGAGAAAGATGTTTCTCTTTTTGCAATCAGTAGTAAATTATTGGTATCACCCGATCTTTGCACCTCGAGAAATCCATTCGGAGTCACTTACTCAAACCTTGTGAAATCCCCCCGCGGGGTGTCCCAGCTCCTGGGGGGGGATGGGGGGGGTCTGGGTCACAGCCTGCCCCACCCCAGAGAGCTCGGAGGGTCTCAGAATCACGACTTGATTGATTTTGGGCAGTGTTTTCCCATTTTTGGCCACAATCCCGGTCAGATAATCCCGGGACTTTCCAGGTGGGGCTGTGAGTCGGGGGGTGCCTGGTGGTCCCAGCTCTTCGTGCCCCCAAACCAGGGCAGGACATCACAACCCTGATGTCACAACGTGTCCCGGGGGGGGAGGGGGCTGCACCACCACGGTGGTATCTGGGGATCCTCTCTGTCCCCACAGCCCTTCGGGGGGCTGGTGGCCGTGCTGGGGGGGTCTGGCCCACCCCCACGGGGCTCTGGGTCCCCATCCCTGCCCTGTGCCAGGGGGCTGGTGGCCCTGCTGGGGGGTCCAACCCACCCCCCCGGGGCGCTGGGTCCTCATCCCTGCCCTGTGCTGGGGGGCTGGTGGCCGTGCTGGGGGGTCCGGCCCACCCCCACGGGGCTCCGGGTCCCCATCCCTGCCCTGTGCTGGGGGGGCGGGGGGGGGCTGCTGCCCCGGGACCTCCTTAAAGATGTTTTCCCTTTCTGCAGAGAGCACCCCCT